TTCCTTTTCTATCACCTTTAGAATTGGCTAAGTTAAATAAAAATTACGATAAAGAAAAAGATCAATTCAGGACATTATGCCGAAAGCTTACGTTTAAGAAAGGTACAAATTACAAAGTTCACTGGGAGTTTGAAAGCCATTTTTTCAAGGTCAATAGATAAGGAAATCTTTCAAGGTAATCTTTCAAGAGAATATTCAGTGATGATGATCTTTCACGGGTAATTTGAGCCGCTTTTGAGAAAAAGGCGATGAAATTATATCGAATTCCTTTTCTTCAAATCTTTTTAGATGTTCTTGAATCCTTTTTTTCACAAGAAACATAATTTTTTAAGTCATTTTTTTCCCAATTTTTAGTTTCCAAGTCATATTTTAGAGATGGAGAAGTCAATTCAAATCGAGTTTGCATACGATTTTTCCCTTCCCAAGGAAAGGAGAATTTGTGGTGAAGAATGGAGAATTATAGAGATTTGAAAAAGAAAGTTTATAAGAGAAAGAAAGACTTTGTTTATACAAAGTTTTGAAGAACAAAGTTTTAGTGAATTTTTGAAAGTTTTTTGAGATTTGGAGATGGTCGCTTTGTGCTTAAAAAGTTGAAAAACATCTTTTCCAAGTTCACTGTATTTTTACTGAAATCGTAAACCAGAAATTCATAGATTTTAATGTTGATCGAATCGTTTCTTCAATTCAAATCAACTCCCTTAAATCAACTCCTCTAAAAATCACATGATTAAAGGAAATTGCTGAACTCATCCGAGAATGTAATCGGAGAAGCTTTTCTTCATCTCGGTTGGACGACATGCGGCAGCTGATGAGGCAAGAGAGTGCAATGCTTGGATAGACGGTGAATGAGAGGGAAGATGATTGGGAAGATGATTGAGAGGTGATTTGGGGAGAGGACTTCTCGGATGGGGAGACGATGTGGCGGCCCCTCACCCTGGCCCCATCCGCCCTTCTTGGTCCCCGCTTCTTTCTTGAGCACTTTCTCGGCTTTTCTGATCCGATTTCCTCTGTCACCGTTGTTATTTGGTTTTCTCCTCCTTCGTCTAACGATTTGTCTTCAAACGGATGATGCCGAGCATCCAACGAGGCGGCGCGGTGTTCAACTGAAAGCTCAACTGAAAGTTTAGCTAAAAGTTTAACTGTTTATATTTTCCGATGAAAAGCGAATGGATTTTTGATTTGTTATTGTAAGTAGGGTGAATCTGCATCTAAAATTCTTGAACCTGGGCTAGGCTTAGGCTTAGGCTTTAGGCTTAGGCTAGGCTTAGGCTTTAGGCTTAGGCTTGCTTGGCTTAGGCTTCAGGCTTTAGGCTTGGGCTTGAGGCGAAATGAAAGATGAAAAGCGAATGGATTTGATTTGTTATTGTAAATAGGGTGAATCTGCATCTAAATTTCTTGAACCTGGGTTGAAAAAAGAGCTGAAATTTGAAAGGGTGAAAGTTTGAAGTCTTTTTCAAATCCAGATCTAACTATTAGATTTGCCGATAAGTCTTTGTCTTCATTTAAAAATTGTCAATTTGTCAATTGTCAATGTCAATAATCAATTTACCTACTGTTCTACGATTTGCTCCATTAGGAAAGCCTAATATTTTTCTATGAAAGGTCATGGAAATCTTAATAAATGTTTTGTTTCTGATCGAAGGTGGGAACTCGGTTAATCAAAAAGAGCGACTTGAATACACGATTTTAACGCTTTAGTCTAAAGAAACCGCTTTTGGTGTCAATAGAAAAAGAAAGAGCGCAAAAAGTTAGGTTTATCGTCAAATTTCAGAATAATCTTTTCAGCCAATTCCTTTCTATCACCTATTATCGAATTTTACTTAAAAACAAGTTTTTGTGCTCGGATTTTCTTAGAAATGGGCTCCAGATTGGCAAAAAAAGATAGAAAAATGTTTAATAAACGGCTTCTATTTGAAGCAAACCATATTTCAATTGGTGAATTTTTTTATTTACAAACAGAATTAGAAAAAAAAGTGCTTAAAGACTTCAGCCAATCTAATATGTAAACCTCAGGCCTAACATCTGTAGTAGCTTAGAAATTCAAGATCTATAAATGCTAATTGCTGGGCGTAAAGCTTTATTTGCAAAAAGAGCTTGATTACATTAGAGAATCCAGGTATTTTAAACTTTTAAATCCCTGAGCAACAGTTGGCTTACCGTATTTTCTCTAATAGTGAGCGTTGCCTAAATTGCTCGAAATCTCGAAAAGCGCTTATCAGAACCTATCGATGGGGTCGGAAAATGTAGCTAACGATGAGATCTAGTGGGGATTTGAGTGTTGAGCTTCTGCAAAAGCTTGGAAGCCTAAAATAGTCATCAACTCGGCTCGACGGGATGCACTACTATTAGAGAGAATACGGCGTTTAAAAGTCGGCAATAGTTGATTTAACAATAAGAAAAAAAGCTCTAGACTTTTTTGACACCTTTAAAATATTATAATCGACTCACCGATGAGGACTCGTTTCACCGGTGATTGCGAGTAGTCGATCGATTTCACTTTTAGCAATTGTTTCTTCAGCGGCACTTGGGATTCTACAGAGAAATGATTTCAAAAATGAATAACGAAAAAAAAAAACGCAAATCTGATACCAAATTTGCAATTTTTAATACAAAATCTTATATACCTATAGATTGAGAAAAGGTGGGCGTGAATGGAATGGTTGAATGATTGGCTGATGATGTGGGCACTTCAAGAGAGGCCGACACCGAGATCCACTTCCGTTCCTCCATTCCATACTGAACAAAAAGAGGAAAAGATATTCACGAGCAATTTTCAAAGTACTCAGAAGAAACATGAAAAAAAGAAACAGAAGAAGAAAAAGAAACATGAAAAATGAAATTTTATGAAAGGGATGAATAGTTGAGATGACGGACGATTGGAGAGGATCGGAGATTTCAAAGATTTCGTTCTTTCGGCTTTCAAGGCTTTCGAGTTTATCTAATGGATTTTGTGCGAACAACTAGCACACTCAAGTTTTCAAAAATCAAAGCTATCCACTAGAAAGAGTGCGTTTTGAAAATCCAGCTATACTTTGTGCTCTAAAAATTTAAACGCATCATTTCTAACGATGAAAGTCACAGATGAAAGCTTCAGTGCGCCGGGAAGAGTGTTTTCATAAAGTTAAACAGATTTTGTTTACATTGAAACAATGAATCAAGAAGGAATCTAGAAAAAAAAACGATAAATAATAGCTGCTTTTCTAGAAATTCCATCTTTTTCGCATCCCATCCGGGTTTGAAAAAAAAAAAAATGATGGTGATAGAACTTTAGAGCTTAAAATAGATTGGAAAAAAAAGAGAGGATCGGAGATTTCAAAGATTTTATTCTTTCGTTTATCAAATGGATTTTGTGCGAACATCTGGCACACTCAAGTTCTCAAAAATCAAAGCTATCCACTAGAAAGAGTGCGTTTTGAAAATCCAGCTATACTTTGTGCTCTAAAAATTTAAACACATCCTTTCTAACGATGAAAGTCACAGATGAAAGCTTCAGTGCGCCGGGAAGAGTGTTTTCATAAAGTTAAACAGATTTTGTTTACATTGAAACAATGAATCAAGAAGGAATCTAGAAAAAAAAAACGATAAATAATAGCTGCTTTTCTAGAAATTCCATCTTTTTCCCATCTCACCCGGGTTTGAAAACAAAAAAAATGATGGTGATAGAACTTTAAAGCCTAAAATAGATTGGAAAAAGAAAGAAAAGAAAAGCTTTATTTTCTAAAGCTTTAAACTTTTAACTATTTATGAAAAATTCTCATTTTATTCACTGTTTTTCAATAGAATTTCAATAGAATAGAGTTTCTTTTCTCTTGCAAATTTGCAATTTGCAAAAGATGGCTTTCTAAATTTAGTTTCCTTCCTTAAAACCATCGCATTTCTAACAAAAAAAAAGGTTTCTTTCGGTGAGAAGCATTTTTTTTTGTTGTCAAAAAGAAAAACAAGAGTACTTTTTGGAGAATGCATGGAATGAGGAAAGAAAATGGGAGAGCTTGAAAGGGAGAAGTCTAAGTATTCAACTATTCTATCAACTCTTGATTCTGCATTCAAAATCCATTAGCTTTTCATCGAAAAATATAAACATTTGAGCTTTCAGTTGAGCTTTCAGTTGAGCTTTCAGTTGAGCTTTCAGTTGAGCTTTCAATTGAGCTTTCAATTGAGCTTTCAATTGAGCTTTCAATTGAGCTTTCAATTGAGCTTTCAATTGAGCTTTCAATTGAGCTTTCAATTGAGCTTTCAGTTGAACACAGCGCCGTTGAACACAGCCTCGTTGGATGCTTGGCATCATCCTTTTGACGACAATGCATTCTTCCATGAATTCTCCAAAACAAGAGTACTTTGTGGAGAATGCATGAAATGAGGAAAGAAAATGGGAGAGCTTGAAAGAGAGAAGTCAAAGTATTCAACTATTCTATAAACTCTTGATTCATTTGCTGACGATGAGTTGGGTAAGAGAGTGTCAGATTTAGTGCTTTTGAAACAAGTTGAATCCAAAAGTTCGTCAAAAGACGTAGAAGAGATCACATTTAAATGTTTGATCCGTTTAAACAAACTTCTAGACTTTGTAAGCTGTACAAGCAACTCAAAGCTGGCCCACACTTTGGAAAGAAATAAAAAAATGTTGAAAGCTTGCTGTCCAAGCTTTTTGGCATCTTGTAGCTACGTTTTTGAATGTTGATTTCAAATTTAATTTTAGTTTTATGCAAAAATTTCTCTTATCTTTAGCTATATTAAAATCGAGGCCATAACTTTTGTGGCTATAGGTTGTGTGGCAAAATACTGCAAAAAAATAACTAGAGGACGAGTTCCCTTTAATCTACATTATTGATATGGACTGAATATTTAAGAAGCTAGATAGCTAGATATCTAGATATCTATCTAGGGAGCAAGCTCTCAAAATCTATCTCGAAATCAGCCAAAACTCAACTCTATTGAAAAGGAGCAATTTTAATGAAGGAGATCTCAGTAAGTTGAGATCGTGTGCAGATTAAGGAAACTGTAGTTTGAGTAAAAGCTCAGATATGTTCAAAGCAAGCTAGATAAGAGATAAATATACAATATACATAGATAAGCAATAAAGCTACAATATATCTAGATAAACAATAAAGCTACAATATATCTAGATAAACAATAAAGCTACAATATACATATATAAGCAATAAATTCACAATATATCTAGATAAGCAATAAATCTACAATATCAGGAAACCTAAACGGTAACTTGTGGTAAAGAACGCTTTTTTTCTTATCGAATGTGCAACGTATTGACTTTTCTTTCATCCACACCCTCCAATTAGCGGTTGGAAGAAGAAAAAAAAGAGAAAAGGAAAAGCTCTGGAAGAATGGATGGATAGAAGAATAGAATGCAAGGGGGAAAAGGGTAAAGAAGGGCATCAGAATGGGAGAAGCTGAGGCTGACGGGAGAGGGGAGGATGGGTCAGCACGGAAAAGCCGCACTAGATACTAGAAAGATCTAAAAAATACAGAGAACTTATACTTTATACTTTTAACACATTAGAATCAATAGAATCAATAGAATAAATAGAATAAATAGAATAAATAGAATAAATAAATCGTACACTTATTTTTGGTGGATCGTACTAATGACGATCGTACTAATGACGATCGTACTAATGACGATCGTACTAATGACGATCGTACTAATGACGATCGTACTAATGGCAATCGTACTAATGGCAATCGTACTAATGACGATCGTACTAATGACTGATCGTACTAATGACGATCGTACTAATGACGATCATTTTTTCATGTCAACTCAAGTTTTTAAAGACTTTTTCTTTATTTTGCAGAAAGTTTTTGTAATTTTGTACAAGTTTTCAAGGAGATTCAGGGCAATCGAATGAGTATAATTGTTTAGTTTATCGTTTTCATTCGTTTATCATTGAATTTTCTGAATTTAGCTTTATTTTCTACTTTTGAAGTGGCAAAACCTTGCGAAAAATGAAAAAAAACTACAACTCGACAAAGAAAATAGAAAAATCATGGCTAAATTCTATGGGAAATTGTGATATTTGATAGCTATAAGGAAATTTGGCTTTTCCGTAGTTTCCGGGTATTTCGAACGGATCGTCACTCTTTGAAGGCCTATAACTTTGTCCAGAGATCATATTTTTCTTAACTTTTTATATCATTGCACAGAGGACATTTCAGCCTTTCAAATGACACCAAATAGAGTTGACTGAAATAGATTTTGACTGGATTTTTCATTCTCATACAAACTAAGCGAGTTGGATAGGCTGGAGTTGGCTCTGATTTTCTTGGATTCTATTATTTTTTTTTTCCTGGATCTAATCAAGCTCTATTTGGTGTCATTTGAAAGGCTGAAATGTCCTCTGTACAATGATATAAAAAGTTAAGCAAAATATGATCTCTGGACAAAGTTATAGGGCTTCAAGGAGTGACGATCCGTTCGAAATACCCGGATTTTTCCAAAAAAACTAGATTTCTTTCAAAAATCTTCCTTCAAAGAGTGATGACCCGTTTTAAAATACCCGGATTTTTATCCAAAATACTGGGAAACTAGGGAAGAGACTCGAATTTTCTAAATTCAAATATTAGAGACAATAGAAACGAGATTATAATCAACTTCTAAAAACTGAAAATTCTTCGTAACTTTTCTTGATTTTTCAAGGTATTATAGTTTAAAAAAAATGCAATTTCACTTATTAAAATGTACTTTTTAAAATGTACTATTAGACTATTACGATTAAAATATAAATATTGGATTTAGATGTCGATATTATAGCATGACATTATATGCTAATAATGTAGAAATTATGACTTTATTATGTAGAACTTTTGAAGATATCGATTCCAAAGAAGACAACAATAAGGAAGCGCTCGAGAAGTGATAAGTGGGAGATGAAGGAAAGCTGAAAATTCCCCGGGAAAAGAGAGAAAAGCTAGAAGATCTAGGAGATCTCTTTGTCGTCAGAAAAGTTATCCTCTTAAAATCGGCCTCGGTGGATGAAAGATCGAAAAAAAGCCATGGAGAGCCTACGTTCAACGAGTCCCCGGGGACATTTCAACTCTCACACAACGAATCTCCTTTTTTTCCTTTTTTGGTTTGATTTGATGCTTTGACGATTGAAGGTTTTTGTTTTTTAAAAGATGATACCGTATTTTCTCTAATAGTAGTGCATCCCGCCGAGTTGGTGACTATTTTACGGTTTCCAAGCTTTTGCAGAAGCTCAACACTCAAATCCCCCACTAGATCTCATCATCAGCACCCCGCATCGATAGGTTCTGATAAGCGGTTCTTGAGATTTCAAGGAATTTAGGCGACGCTCAGGGGGCACTACTATTAGAGAGAATACGATAACTTTTATTTAGAGAAGTCGAATTCAATTGGCGTATTACCGTATTTTCTCTAATAGTAGTGCACCCCGGCGAGCCGAGTTGGTGACTATTTTACGGTTTCCAAGCTTTTGCAGAAGCTCAACACTCTAATCCCCCCAAGATCTCATCGTCAGCTACATTTTCCGACCCCACATTGATAACTTCTGATAAGCGGTTCTCGAGATTTCGAGGAATTTAGGCGAAGCTCAGGGTCGCCTAAATTATTAGAGACACTACTATTAGAGAAAATACGGTAATTGGAATTGACACTGAAAATGAGTGGAAAAGCTTAACTGTTACAAAAAGTAGTCCTGAGGAAAGCTAGATGCTCTGGTCTAGATCAAAATTAGATCTAGATGGTATCTGGAAAA